TGATGGTATAACTAAAGTAGGTGCATAATTACATCATGGAGATATATATGTTAATAAAAAGACACCTTAAGTTCCAGATAATCCTTTAATTGAAAATATATAAATAGCAGATACTCCATCAGTATTTAAAGAAAAGTGGCCATATACTGTAGATAGAGTATTAATTATTAATAATACTAATGATGGAACAGAGAAAATCAAAACAGTTAAAACAATCTTTAGATAAATAAGAAGACCTGAATTTGGTGATAAATTTTCAAGTCGTCATGGTCAAAAAGGTGTTGTTGGTCTTATTGTTAATTAAGAAGATATGCCTTTTAATGAAAGAGGATGGTGTCCTGATTTAATTATGAATCCTCATGGTTATCCATCTAGAATGACAATTGCTAAATTAATGGAACTATTATGCGGTAAATTGGGAGCTTTGGAAGGTAAATTTAAATATGGTACTGCTTTTGGAGGAGAGAATGTATTATAGGTAGGAGAAGAATTATTAAAAAGAGGATTTCATTATTAAGGAAAAGATTGTTTAATATCTGGAATTACTGGGGAATATATGGAATGTTATGTATATTAAGGACCTATTTTCTATTAAAGACTTAAGCATATGGTTATTGATAAAATTCATGCTAGAGCGAAAGGACCAATGGAAAAACTTACTCGTTAACCTGTTGAAGGTAGAGCTAAGGATGGTGGTTAACGTATAGGAGAAATGGAGAGAGATTGTTTTTTAGCATATGGTGCTTCAAATTTATTAATTGAAAGATTATTAATATCAAGTGATCCATTTAATGTATATGTTTGTGAAATATGTGGAATGTTTAAGAGTGATTCTGTTTGTAGAGGTTGTAATACAGATAAAGTATATTAAATTAGATTGCCATATTGTTGTAAATTATTATTTTAAGAACTTTTGGCAATGAATATTAAACCAAAATTATAATTAGTACCTTCTCATGAGAGATAAGAGTATACAATGAATTGAAAATATTTATTAATTAATTATTTTATAAATACAATCATTTTATTAAAATTCTTGATTACTATCAAATTAATTCTTAGAAATAGTGATATATATATATGTTAATAAGTTTAGAAAATAAATCAATAAAAAATTCTTTATTTATAATAATAATAATTATTATAAATGAATAAAATGACAATTCATGAAATGAAACAAATTTTAGAATAAAAAATTGATTTTAATTGTTAAGCTACTTAAATTGCCATGAATAAATTAGGTTTAAGTTAAAAGACATTTTAAAAGATTAGTTATTTGGAATATATGACTTAAAATAATAGCTAGTAAGATTATTTTTCATATTTACATTCGATTGTAATGAACATTAAAAAATTGCAGTAAGAAATAGCTAAAATGAATTTAAAAGATAAATCTATTGATTGTACAGAACCAGAAAATATAGATGAGATTATAGCATTATTGGATTAACGAATGTAAAAGAAAATAACTAGCAACAGTTAACCTCGTATAATATCATACAGAGAGAAAACTTTAGAGAGAGATGAGAAGAAATCAAGAATTATAAAAATGAATCATTAATAGATAAAATCAATAACAGAGAGAACAATTTAATAGCAACAATCGCCACCTAAAGATCAAAATACTTTCATTTCTCAAAATACAGAAAGAATCATACACAAGAGTAAAGTTGTGCATTATGGATAGAGTTGACAATTTCCAATAATTAAAGTGTTGCTGATTTGTATTCTAAACAATAAGCTTCAATTGAAGCAAGTACTATGGAATAATTAAATGAATCATTACGTAAATAAATACCTGACAAAAATCAAATAATAATGACAGGAATTCGTTAAAGATTGAAGGATAGCAATTGTAGCAAATAAGCTATTGATGAGTTTATGAATAGAATTGCTAAATTAAGAAGTGTATCATAATAATCAATAGAAAGTAATAGGAAGATCTCAACCTAAGCAATCAAATTTGTAAAAAAGAAGAATTCTAATGTCATAACAACAAAATTAGGAATGATGTTGAAAAAAGAAAAACTAATTCTTCCTGAGGAACCTATAAAAGTTCATCAATTAAAAATAGGAAGTATTATGGGTGTAATCTCGAGAATTAAGAATCAAAAATCAAAATCTAAAATATATTAACAGCTCAATAATGAGATCTAATGATAAGATTTTCTATTATGATTTATATTGTATTGATTTTAAATTATTTTTATTTACTTATAGTAGCTATATATCAAATAATAACCTTCATAATCAAATACCAAAGAACATCAATAAAATAAGATAATAGGTAAAAGAGATCAAAATATAGTTAAATTTGCTAAAAAAATTGATGATTAATTCTTTTACATGAACATATTACTATTGTTATTCATATTCATGAAAAATTTTATATCATTTTCTCTACATCTAAATAATTGTGAAATCTTTTGTACTAAAATTGATATCAAATAATGAAAATATGATAATGTATGAATTTTATGTTATTAATATAATAATTTTTATGTTTAAAGGAAAAAGAGTACATTCTTAATTAATTGATATTTCATTACATGGCACTCTCTTTAAGTTTGTTAAACATCCAAAATTAAATGCTTTTATTAGTATTGGCAATGATCATGATTTATCAGTTTGGGATTTGGAATCTTTAAATTTAATGTACAAAAAGGAAGGAAATGAATATGCAATTGCAGATGCTCTTATTCATAATGATTATCATATTATTGCTTCAGTAAATGGAACTTTAAAAATATATAAAGGAGATGAAGAACCTAAAGTAACTTAATTACCAGAAATTCCTCTTTCAATATGTGTTCATAAAGATCAACTATATGTTGGTACAACATCTGAAAAATTATTAATATATGATTTAGATACTGTTGAATTAAAATCAATCTAAAACAAACAACCTTGGGTTACTTAACTAAGATCTCATGATGATACATTATACATTATGGGAAATAAAATATCATTTAATGATAATACTGTGGATTTAGGGCATAAAGGTTAAATTATGCATCACTCTATTCTTGGAAATAAAATTTTAACTGGAGATTCTAGTGGCAAAGCTATATTATCTACATTCCCAGAATTTACAAAGCTTTATGAATATCAAATGGAAAGTGCTGTGGTTTAGCTTGCCATTATTGAAAATAAAGAACAATTATCCTTAATTATTGGTACTCTTGATCCAGGAATTGTTATCATAACAAATGGAGAAATCACAAAGATTGAAGACAGAGCTGCTCCATTTATAATTTGTTCTTAAAATAGAATAATTAACAGATCAAATATCTTAACAAGACAAGCATATTGTGATGTTTATGAATGATATAATGATATCAATTACATCTGTTTAAGTTAATCAGTATTAATACAAATTAGTAATATAGATGATGTATATATTCAACAACATTCTTTTTTCTTTGCTTTATTTCTATCATTATTATCATTTTTAATAACAAAAGAACTTTCATTTTAATAAATTAATACCTTTTTATTATACTGTCTTCTAATTTAATGACTCCTTTCTCTATCATTGATTCCACAAGCTCATAAAATATCAAATCTACTTTGTCATTTAATTTAACACTTATTTAATAACTACGAGTAAAATTATGTTATTATGCAAATTGATTTAAATATTCTTCTGTTTAGTATTCTTCTCTCTCTCCTTATAATAAGTCTGTTTTATTTTGAATTAAGAATATAGGAACTTCATCAGCAATATCCTTAACAACATTACGCCAAGACAAAGCGGCTTCCAAAGATTTCTTATTTGTGATGTCACACATAATTAAACAACCTTTTGCTTATCTTATAAACATTTTAGATAAATTTTAAAATCTCTCTTATCCTTTGAATTTAATTCAATTATTACCAGCCACATCCCATATTTATAATTTCAATTTTGTTCCATTTTTTGTAATCCACTTTAAAGTGAAATCACAACCAATTGTTGCACTATGATTATGATCAAACTCATTAAAACAATATTACTATAATAATGATGTCTTCCCAGCATATGACTCTCCAACTACAATTATTTTTACTACTTATGGTTCATCCATTTTTATTATATATATATATATATTTATTTATTTTATTCCTTTCTTATATCTTAATATCTTTGAAATTTAAAGATAATGTATTAATAGTTTTTGAAGAATAAGGGAAATAAGTTCTGAATAATAAAACAACTTTTAAAACATTAGATAACTTTTCAGATTGTTTGATTGTAAATCTATTTATTTAATATATTCATTTAAGATTAATATATAGAGTTCCTTTTAAAATTTTTAATCTTATTATATCAAAAGAACAAGAGATGTGTTAGAATATAATTAATTGATATATTTTCAATAATAGAAGGTATTCTTCATCTTAGAACTGATTTCTTCTTCCTCTTTCAAATGTGTTCTATTTTATAAAATTAATTAAATTACTTAAAAACTAAGAGTTTTTTATTTAACAGATTATAAATTTTAAGTTTCTTTTTAATAAATGCTTCTAAATTTCCAACATAAGTATCTACATCATAATCTACAATTCCAACTCCCTATATTGACTAAATTAATTCACTTTCTTATTGTAATAATTTAGCATCTTCCTAAGATATAATATATATTGTATAATACTTTTATTGCAGCCATATGAATATTTAATATTTCATCTTATTCTTCAAGAATTGTATTAACTTTTTCATGAAATTCAATGAATGCAATACCATTACAATTTGCATTATTTTATTCATTTTTCATCATAGTTTCTTTCATACATTTAAGATCTTCTTTAACTTAACCATTTTTTTTATTAACTAATTCTTCAGCTGCTACATCATCATCTGAATCTTCCTAAACTGTATTGACTTTTTTCTATTGTTTTGGAGGTACTGGTTAAGATTTTGGTTTTTCTTTATCTGGTATTTATGATTAATTCTTTTTCAAATTAGCAGCATTCTAATTATTTTAATTTCTTGGATCATTAATTTTTGGTAATTATAAAGGAGGATTTTATTTATCAAATTATTTATTATTATTATTATTATTATTATTATTATTATTATTATTATCCGATTATCTATCATATCCTTATTACTATCTATATAATAATTCTTCATTTGTAACTTCTCTTTCTTCTAATTAAATCTTTGCTTAATTTGATTTATCTTTTAATCTATCAGAATATCTTAAAGTATTCAATGAATGATCAGCTGATGAACTTCCAGGACTTACACAAGCTATCATTATAATTCTAGATTTGTTAGATTTTGAAGTAAATGAATCTCTCAATACCAAAGTAAGCTTAGATGCTCTAAAAGGTATATGTGCTTAGCCTTAATCCATAGATCTAATGCATTCTTTCAATGCTAATAAACTTTTATTGATTTCAGCTCCTTCCAATCTCCTTTATCTATTATTTGATTATGTATCTTATGCTCTTTCTGATCCTGCCAAATCAACCAATATTAATTTTCCAATATCTTAATACCCTTATCTTATTGTAATTTAACAGATTGAATGAGATCTTGATGATGTATCATTTGCAGCAGTTGCATGAGTTGTCCTGACTGAATTAGCCAATTCCATTAATTAGAATAATTCCTATTCTGATTCACTTGGTTTTTCAACTAATCCTTATATTTATATATTATTATTCTTATCTTCCATTATTTATAATGGTGATTTGGCATTTAATAAATCATAACATTTTCCACCATAAATCTCAAAAAATGATACAAATATCTTAGAAGAAGGAGTTGTACTAATTAACTTATATAAATCAGTGACTAATAATTCCTAAATGCTTTTCATTGTATAAGTTTTACCAGAACCTGTTTGTCCATAAGCAAAACAAGTTACAACTCCTTAATTTACCAATAAATCCATTAAAGGAGCTAGACTAACATCATAAATATCTTTGCCTTATTCTACTTCACTGAAAGTATTATCAAATTAGAAATCATGATTTTCTACATATTTAGTAATGCCATCTACTTTTAATTTAGGTTCATGCACTCTTATCATAGGATTTGAACAACTTATAGCATCTATTTCACCTCCAACTTCTTCCTTTTTAAAGATAGGTCTTTTCCTAACACATACACATAATTTGATATTTTATGTTGTCTAATGTTCTTATATTAATCCTCCTTTAAGTCTGGTTTTATCAATCATGATTTCAAATTCTACATCAACATTTTTACCTAGTATTTAATTCTACTCTTCTCTTTCTGCTTTCTCTCTTTTCATTTCTTACATATTTTTACGACGTTCTTCTCTTTGTTATTCCATTTTTTTAATATTATCAACAACTGATCCTTTCTGTTATTAAGCCTATTATTAAGCAACTACTTATTATCCTTATTGTTATTATTATTATTATTATTATTATTATTGTTATTATTATTATTATTATTATTATTATTATTAAGGAACTTATTCTTGCTTATTATTAATTTCAATTCCTTTATATTTATCACAAATATACCATTAGCTTTCTTCAATCTATCTAACTTCTCTTATTTTGTTCCATATACTCCTAATCCTTTTGCCTTTAATTAAGCTATTACTTCTTCATCACTTAATTTGTTTAGAGCTTATTCTTTTTTATTTAATTATCCTTCTCTTTAAGCCTTTAATCGATCTAGTTATCATCTGATTTATTACCCCTTTCTTTTTATGCCTAAACTGATAACTACTATTATTATTATTTTGGTGGCTGCATACCTTTGAAATTTGAATTATTTTATAATTATATAAATAATAACAATTTAATGAATATATTTTTTATTCATTTTAATTAACACTCTAGTTTACTTAGATTATTAAATTATGATATATTACATCCATTAACACTAAAATTATAAATAATATAATTAGTTAAAATTTTAATATATCTAATAATTGGAAGTTAACTTAATGCAATAAATTTTAATTATATCTAAATATTTAAAATCTGAAACTGAAAATGACTTTTTAAGGTTATTTTTCATGAAATTAATCTCAAGATATTTTAAATTTAACTATTAATCTATATTAATATCAATTCTATTTAACATGAATAACAACAACAATTCATTAACAATTTCAAATGAACTAGACAATATTAAATTTACAAGTTTAATTATCTTCCTATTTTTAGATTTTTTGTTTATTCTCTACAAAATCTCATAAACTTCATAAATACAAAATGATTTTGACTCAATATTATTAATTCCTCCGTTATTTTATTTCATCATTATGTTTTCTTAAATGATGAAATTAAAAATAATATATATTTACACAAAATATGATAAATAGATACACGTTGTAGTTTAAGGATTAAAAACTCGAAGAAAAGTATTAGGAAATTTAATTAAGGGAAAAGAGAAAGCCTTTAGTTAAAAAAATAATTTATTTAACATTCCTTGTTGTTCTAGTTAAAGGGACATTTTCTATAATCACCCAAAGCCTTGATGAGATTTACGGAACAATAGGATATTTTGTTAGTGATTTATGCCTAATTGCAATTCTAATAATTAAACCTCAATACTGTCGCTATGCATTAATGTTTGTTAATTATTTAATGATGATCCCTTATTTGAGAACAGATGATGGCAAGAATTAATTTCATTATTAATTAGGCTCTGCCTTAATAGTAGCATTTTAATTTGTAATTATTACATCTGGAGAATTTATAGATGCATTAATTTAAGTTTTATCAATTTTTTCAATTTACTTAGCTTATTTTATAATTTACCAGCCTAACTTTTCTTATGCATTTGTATTGTCAACCTTTCTAATATGTTTCTTACTTTTATTTTCATTTTATTAAAATGTTGCTGCAGAAAGATCTAAATTTTAACTTACAATTATTAATGAATAATGGGATAAGATTTTATTGAGTATGGTCACAGAACCTTGTGTAATCTTTAATTTTGATCAATTAAGACATACTTTTATTTTAAAAGGATCCTTTTCTTTTATTGTTAAATGTAATACTAATGATGAATTAAAGAATTTCTTAAGGAAATCGAAATTAACTTTCCATAAAAAAATTAATTTAGAAAATTATCTATATAAATAAATAGATAAATTTGACAAATAAGATAATAATATTATTAATTAATCACTTATCATTGAATTGAATTAGAAAGCTCAAGAAATTACATATTCAATATTTTCAGGAACCAATCCAATAATTTTGATAAAAATGGATCAATGTAAATGTAGTAAAATCATAGGAGAATAATAAAATTTAATTATAGAATAGCAATTTCAATTTAAATATCAAGTATTGTTAAAAAGTATCTATCAATAATTTAAAATGATACTTGTTCAAAAAACTTCAAATTTAAAAGGATTATTTAAATTAATTATATATCATTATTTATAAGAAAAATTAGAATAAAAATAAATCAAGTAAGTAAATTTAAGCAAAGTATTTTCTAATTTAAAATTACTTTATACATAAAAATCGATTATTTTGTCAAAGAATCTTTTAGATTTTACTTTCTTGGGGTACAAAGAAGCTCTTTTTCTCATTTTAATCGAAATTTTCGAGTGCAATATATCTAATTAAGTCTATATATAAATAAATACTGATTCTTAAGATGATAAACAATTCGAAATGTTAATTTTTGGTATATACAATGAAAAAGCATATCAAATATTAAGATAAAGATTAGAAAAACTATAAGATTACTTTAATAATTTATACCTTACCTAATAATGTAAAAATATATTAACTTTTAGATATATCTTTAGTTATAACTCATAGCACCTTTATTGGAAATAAGAGATTTTGATAATTTATTGTATTAATTACTATAAAAATAAAATAGATCTATTTAATTATTTATTAATAATAATAGACATATTGTATTAATTTTAAGATTAAAATTTAAGATAGGATAGTTAATAAATTTTTATTATTTTTCATGAATAAATGATTACTCAAATTTATTTTATCTGTTGTAATTCTAAAGGCAAAACTAAACAATATAAACAGTTTATTCGCATCATCAAGAATAAATTTAGAGTAAAATGATAAGAAAATAAATATAATGAATTAATTAAAAATTTTTAGAGATATGATTTTTCAGTTTTTTTAATAGAGAATAAAATAAAATCTATATTAAAATTATTTATTATGATATTCTAAATTTTGAGAGGATTTTCTAAAATTAAATATAAAATATGTTATAGAAATATATAAAAACAATAGAGAATCATTATTTATTAATCTAAATCTGAATTCAAAGAATATTGTGAAAAAGTAGAATCTTTAAAAATAATAATATGAGGCATTTTTTAAATTAAATTTTTATCTTAATTTATATATTAAGATTAATTATTTAATTTATAAATTCACATTTTTGTAAATCCAAAGATATATAGATTTTGCTTAATAATAAATTATTGGCTTATTTTATTTTAATAAAAACATAAACTAATTGAATTCTTTCTAGTGATTTAAGTTTTTTAGAGGTTATTAAATGAAGACCATCCTTTTGACCAATTTCTTATTGTTAATTCTAAATTTCTTCTCATTAAAATGACATTATTAAATGAGAATTGTGAATTATAAAAAATGAATATCTAAGAATAGTCTTAAAGTAATAAAATAAATAATTAAAGTTTTCAGAAATTCATTCATGTTAACCTCATTTATATTAATGATGTAAACAATTTAAATATAACATAATCATATGATGATATAATTAATTATATACTACTAAGAAACATAAATCCAATAGCATAAAATTAATCTGTTTAAAAATTAAAGATTAGATTATATTAATTAAAAGTTCAGATTAAACAAATTTTATAATGATAAGAGATAAGTAGATGTGGTAGTGAAATTAAATATTTTAGTGTAGAAATGATATGAATATTGATAATCAGCATAGTTAGTAGACATACTTTAGAACTTAGTTTTTGTTATTTTTTGTAATATTAAACACGATGATTGAATCTAATTAATTATTTTTAAATGGGTTGTTCATTGTCATCCAAACATAAAACTGAAAAGCTTCAATCTATATAGTTGACTTCTCAAATAACTTCAAAACAAATTGAGGATGATTAGGTTGAAAGAGAAATTTTTAATCATTTTTGTTTAGAAAAATACAAAATTTAAAAGAATCCTATAGTTTAAAGAAGAGCTCATTCTACAACGCCAAGTTTAATGAATGTTTAAAATAAAGTCGACGCTCAGAATTCATATGTTTAAAGATAATTCTTTTGATCTATATTTTATTTTTATCTCTTCACATATAATTACTTTAAATCTTACTTATTGTTAAATAGAGTATTATAATATGAAACAAAAATACAATTTAGATGAAAATAGTTAGGTTTGAATAAACACAATTTGGTTTTTGATATAATTAACAAGAGAATATATAGTGTTAGTTATTGTCATCAAATTTGAAAGTACAGAAGAATAGTAAAGATAAAGTTGAATGGTTGACAATAGAGAAACTAAACAAAAGCATTCAGATAATAATTAAATTTTGTCAAAATTTATATATAAAACATTCTTGAAACAATAAACTATGATTAATTTTTTGATTTATATATGATTGGTTTATCGGTACAATATAAGAGTGCAAACGATTAAAATTTAAAGATGAGGATTGAAAGAAAATGAAAGCGAGATGACTATAAACAATGCTTGTTCAATTTGATAATATAACAATATATATAATATTTTGAAAATGAGGCTATTAATATTATCAGTCTTTAGTGATGGGTGTACATGCACTGGTGTAAGAGATTTTACTTTTCTTTTACTCCCTCCTTCTAATAATGGGATTTTTAAGTATATTGTATTATTGATCTTATGTGTTTAATTATTATTGATGAATTGCAATTGAAGCAGACTTTTCTTTTAATTGTATAATTCTTTAAGACATTGACAATGTGGCTTTGTTTTATACACAACCCATTAGTTTAATTTTATTTATTAAAACTTATGAATTGACTTTAAATAACAAATGAAGATGATGTCAGTAAATTTTAAATAAATTATATTTCTTCTTTCTACTTTATAATAAAAATACAAATAAAAGATAAATACTTATAAAAACCAATCTTCAATATGATTCAGGTCAAGATTTTTAATTTGATTGAACACAGAATATTACTATAGTTAATATATGATCTTTAGTTAATAAATAAATATAGATTAAATTTTCTTTTGATATTATTTAAATATCAGATGATATATTTAAATAAGAGACTATATTCAATTAAGTTTAATTAATCTCTAACTAAAATAATTTATACCTTAAATGAAAAAAATTCATCAGCTTTAAATAATGGTTCAAAAAAACTAAATATAAAAATAATTATTTATCAAATTATATAAATTAAATTTATAATCTGAATAAAATTTTTAACACCTTTAAAAATTATACCATAAATTTGATATAATTTTAAAGTAATAGTAGTGTATAATTTTAACTGTATTAATGTTAATTTAAGAATATTAAAATTCAAAAAATTGAACATTATTATTAATCAAGTGCAGGATCTCTATTTGAATTTTTAGTTGGTCTATGATCAAGATCTCCAACAACCATAGTTTCATCCTGAAATTTGATTCCATCTTATTCAATTAATTTTGGTTAGGTTGAATTCTATAGATATGATTTGTTTGTAGTTGTTAATGGATATGTTGGAGGAATATATAAATTAGTACTACTTGGAATAGGACTAAATGGTGTTTATGGCTGATAAGGTGAATATCCAGATGTTTGAGGTAAAGAAGTTATTGGAATAGTTTGATGTTGCTGCTGTTAAAAATAATTGTTTTGATACATTGGTATATCTAAGATCTTTTCTGGAATATAAGGTTTATCTGAAGCTATATAAGATGGAGTATATGATTATTCAGATGGTCTTGCTGGTATTGGACCAAACTCAAATTTTTTTTCTATTTACTAATGTATTTGAGGATATTGATCAATATCAGGTAGAAATCGTGGATCTGATTATATATTTCTTAATGGTTTATTTAATTATGGAGATGTATTTTCAAAATCAAAATGTTTGATTGGCAAATGTTTTTGATCACTTTAAAAAGATGGCTAAACATAATCATTTTAATGAAGAATAGGATCTTCATAAAATCCTCCAGTTGAATGAATATCTTGATTATTATTAATATCGAATTTCTTAATAGTTTTTTCTGTACCTGGTAGTGTTGGAGTTTATTATTAAGGTGAATTAATTTGATATTATGATGAATGCTAATTTGTTACATCATGTATTATTTTATCTGTATCTATGATAGGCTATGATTATGCAATTCCATATTTATTCCAATTGTATTAATCAATGATGTCATCATATTTTGTTCTCCTACATATATTTATCTAATTAATACATAGAATAATCTGTATTTTGAAAGGTCATTTGGGATTAAAATTAAGGTACAACTCTTTTGTTAGATTACTATTATGGTATGGCATTAAATTGTTAATTATTTTAATGTACATTAGTATTATCTTTAAAAGGTTAATAATTTTGACAAAATTAATTCTAAGTATCTAAAAAGAAAGTTGGAATTTATTTTTAATTAGTGTATTATTATAATTCTTTATCATGGATCTCAGGAACATATGGTTAAGGTTGTGATACTGCATAAACAACTAAAGGATACAAGGGTCCAATAAGATCAGCATTTTATTAAGCTTTCTGTGGTTAACCATATAATGTAGGTTATGGTTAATTAATAACTAATTAAGATAAAGACTTTTGAGATGTTTATTAAAATATTGTTTCTTCAACATCAAATAAATAATTATATTCTGGAGAAAGCAACTATAACTTTTCTTTTTTAAATTCAGCTTTTTTTATAATAGAAATTTTATCTTCTGAATCAAATATTTTAAATTCTTTCTAATTCAATAAACTTTCACCTATTTATTTTAATATTTCACTTGCATCTAGAAAATAGATGTGTTCTAATGACATTGGAAAATTTGTAATAAAATGTTAAATTGCTTATTCAATTTATTCTTTCTAAACGTTTGGATTGAATTAACTTAAATCAATAATTATAATCCAACTTTCCACTTTACCTGGTGCAAACATATAATCTTCCATCAATATTAATTTATTTGTAATTGCCTTGATAAAATGATTATCCAAAGGTTAACATAAATTTATATGTAATACGGGTCTTAACATTTCATCCCTACCTATAATTTACACTATTTTATCATATTAAGGAAGGTCATCTAATATTGTTGTTTCTGGATTATTTAGCCAATCTAAGTGATCAACAAAATAATTAACTGTCTCCTCCTTCATAAATTTATGAGCATATAAAAATCGTAATAATACAGAATCATTCTAAACCCTCAAATATTATCACTAAACATACTCCTTTAAATATTATATAGGAATGGAATCCATAAATCCCTTTAATTCTTTTAATTGTTATTTCTCAAACTAATCATACTGCACATTCTTGAAAATTCTCCTAACTGCTTAATATCCACTCCCAATCTTAATATAATTTGCTAAAAATTATTTAATTACAGTTTATACATAATAAATTCAAATTAGCAAGATCTTTTTAATTGATCATCAGATTTTGGTACTGCTCTTAAAACATTCAATTAAATATATTATTTTATAATTTAACAATTTATTTTAACTGAATATATTATTTAATTTTAAATATCCTCTTTCTCAACTTTGATTTTTATTTGAAATTGTTAATTATTAATAAAAATAGTTATTCCTAGTTTATTATTATTTATTTCCATTTATTTTCTAAATAATTAATATATGAAAAGTTATATTTATAAATTATGTGATTCTACATGATGTTAACAATATCATTATTTGATACTACTAAAGTAGAAGCCAAACAAAAATAAATTATAGTTTATCATTTATAATTATTATTTTTAAGAATTGATTTTAAAATACATCATTATTCTTTCCAATAATAAATTTATGAACCAAATTTAATAAGGAGATGTAATTGATAATCAATATGAAATAATTAAAAAAATATCATAAGGTTCATTTGGAATTGTGTATTTTGGAAGATGCATGAAAAGAAACAAAAATGTTGCAATTAAAGTAGAGAAGCAAGAAATGGCAAGTTTTAATAGTTTAAATAGAGAAGTATAGTAGTTTGTGAAATTAGATTGAAATATTAACTTTATTGAAAGGAGTTACCTAAATTCCAGAATTATATTGGCATGGTCAATTCAAGAAATGCAACATTATGATAACAAGATTGCTTGGACACGATCTCATATATTTTTAAAAGTAATATTAGAAGTTTTCAACTTACTGCGTATACAACATTGCTTTCTAATTATTATGGATTTTAGAACAAATACATAAAAGGTTATTTAATAAATAAATAATAGGAATATAATACATAGAGATTTGAAACCTGAGAATATATTAAGTAAAGCTGATACTGACAAGATATATCTAATTGATTTTGGAATATCAAGAAATATTAATTAAATATCCAATAAAAAAAAGAAGATATCCTTTATTGGTACAAGTAGATATGCAAGTTTGGCTGCTCATTAAGGAATAGAGTAGACTGCAAAGGATGACTTAGAATCTTTAGGTTATTTACTAATATACTTAATGAAATAAAGATTACCATGGATGAATATTGAGAAAAATGATCCACAAAGGTTGGAGAAAATAAGAAAATTAAAATAAGAAACAAAAGTTGAAGACTTATGTTAGGAATGCCCAAATTCTATTTTAAAGTAATTATCCTATTAAATTAAGATTTATGAAATATGTTAAAGGATTATCTTAATAATAAAAACCATCATATGCTATGTTACGAGGACTATTCCTTACAACATTGCATAACATTTCAGATTAAGGATTAGATTGGACTAATTAAAAAAGCAAATCTCATAAGTAAAAAAGTAATAAAAAATAGAAGAGCACATAAAATTCAAATTATTAAAGTTGTGGCACAATTAGAAGGTAATTTAATTAGTAATTTTATCTAGGGAATTTTTAGGAGAGCATTTATTACCTCAAAATTATAAAACTTTTGGAGCTTAAGATGAATTAGTTGGATCTTCAGATAATGGGAGTAGTGCATTGTAATTCAGTGCAATAACAAATTAAGGTAGTATAAAGAGTATTGGAGTGGGATTTACTATGACTGATTTACATGAAGGGCAAGGAATACAGAAACAAAATAATTAAATAGCTAGAATTTCTACTTTTGAAGGTATAGTTGAACATGATCCAGGAATGACTTTAAAAGCTGAATAGTAATTAATGGAAAGAGAAAATTAAGATTTAGAAATAAAATATAATCTACTACATTTCAAATCTGTCTACTTTAACTTCAAGAATCCAATATAATAATGGATTTTAAGATCTAATTATATTAAGAAATGACTTAAAAAAATAGAGTTTTGATTGATTTTACATTTTTCTTTTGTAATTATTAATTAGATTAATCAGATTTCTAAATGGATTGTATATAGATTGCTTAAATGAATCCTAAAAATAGTTTATTTTTTAAGTGATTAGTTATTATGCTTTGATTAAATAAAAAGATTTAAAATAAATGTTCAATCGAATTACAAGGTTGGCTGCATTGTAACACAAAGTTGTTAAATGCTTTGATCTTCATGAATATCAAAGTAAAGACTTGATGAGAGGATTCAATGTTAGAGTGTAAAAAGGAGCTATCGCTTTGAATGCTGATGAAGCTGCTANCATAGAGATTTGAAACCTGAGAATATATTAAGTAAAGCTGATACTGACAAGATATATCTAATTGATTTTGGAATATCAAGAAATATTAATTAAATATCCAATAAAAAAAAGAAGATATCCTTTATTGGTACAAGTAGATATGCAAGTTTGGCTGCTCATTAAGGAATAGAGTAGACTGCAAAGGATGACTTAGAATCTTTAGGTTATTTACTAATATACTTAATGAAATAAAGATTACCATGGATGAATATTGAGAAAAATGATCCACAAAGGTTGGAGAAAATAAGAAAATTAAAATAAGAAACAAAAGTTGAAGACTTATGTTAGGAATGCCCAAATTCTATTTTAAAGTAATTATCCTATTAAATTAAGATTTATGAAATATGTTAAAGGATTATCTTAATAATAAAAACCATCATATGCTATGTTACGAGGACTATTCCTTACAACATTGCATAACATTTCAGATTAAGGATTAGATTGGACTAATTAAAAAAGCAAATCTCATAAGTAAAAAAGTAATAAAAAATAGAAGAGCACATAAAATTCAAATTATTAAAGTTGTGGCACAATTAGAAGGTAATTTAATTAGTAATTTTATCTAGGGAATTTTTAGGAGAGCATTTATTACCTCAAAATTATAAAACTTTTGGAGCTTAAGATGAATTAGTTGGATCTTCAGATAATGGGAGTAGTGCATTGTAATTCAGTGCAATAACAAATTAAGGTAGTATAAAGAGTATTGGAGTGGGATTTACTATGACTGATTTACATGAAGGGCAAGGAATACAGAAACAAAATAATTAAATAGCTAGAATTTCTACTTTTGAAGGTATAGTTGAACATGATCCAGGAATGACTTTAAAAGCTGAATAGTAATTAATGGAAAGAGAAAATTAAGATTTAGAAATAAAATATAATCTACTACATTTCAAATCTGTCTACTTTAACTTCAAGAATCCAATATAATAATGGATTTTAAGATCTAATTATATTAAGAAATGACTTAAAAAAATAGAGTTTTGATTGATTTTACATTTTTCTTTTGTAATTATTAATTAGATTAATCAGATTTCTAAATGGATTGTATATAGATTGCTTAAATGAATCCTAAAAATAGTTTATTTTTTAAGTGATTAGTTATTATGCTTTGATTAAATAAAAAGATTTAAAATAAATGTTCAATCGAATTACAAGGTTGGCTGCATTGTAACACAAAGTTGTTAAATGCTTTGATCTTCATGAATATCAAAGTAAAGACTTGATGAGAGGATTCAATGTTAGAGTGTAAAAAGGAGCTATCGCTTTGAATGCTGATGAAGCTGCTAAAGTAGCTAAAACACTAGATCCAAGTGGTGGTTTGATTCTTAAGTCATAAGTTCATGCTGGTGGAAGAGGAAAGGGTATGAATATAGTTTAATTCAAGGAACTTTGTCAAGTGGTTTGAAGGGAGGAGTAAAGATCTGTAAAACTCCAGAGGAAGTAGCCAACTATACAAAATAAATGATTGGATATAAATTAGTAACACATTAGACACCAAAAGAAGTATTGATTATCATATAATAATATAGGGTTTATAAGTGAATGCAGTACTTGTACATGAAGGTGTAGACATAGTACGTCAATTATATTTAGCATTTATATTGGATAGAAATTCATAGAAGCCAGCTATTGTTGCATCAATTAATGGTGGAATGGAAATTGAAGAAGTAGCAAAGACAGATCCAAATAGTATTATTGTGTTACCAATTGATGTAAACACAGGATTGACTGATCAAATTGCTAATAAAGTTGTTGACACTCTTTAATTATAATCTGTTAGATAATAAGCAATTGAATAATTGAGAAATCTTTATAAGATGTTTATTTCATTGGATGCTACTTAAGTAGAAATTAATCCATGGGCAACAGATCCAAAAAATCAATTATTTTGTATTGATGCTAAAATTAATGTTGATGACAATGCTAAATTTAGATAAAAGGAATTGGTTGAATTAAGAAAAACATCAGTTGCATCAGAATAAGTTGATCCTCATGAAGAATTAGCATTAGCAGCAGGATTAAATTATGTTGCATTAGATGGAAATATTGGTTGTATGGTTAATGGAGCTGGTTTGGCAATGGCTACAATGGATATAATAAAATTATATGGTGGAGAACCTGCAAATTTCTTAGATGTAGGAGGTGGTGCAAATGTAGAATAAGTAAAGACAGCATTTGAAATATTGAATTCACATCCAAAGGTAGAAACAATTCTTATTAATATATTTGGTGGTATAATGAAATGCAACATTATTGCTGAAGGTATTATTAAAGCAGCTTAATTGGTTGATTTAAAGACACCATTAGTAGTAAGATTAACAGGAACAAATTCATAATAAGGTAATAAATTAATAATAATTAAAAGGCGCCAAGATGTTAGATGAATTTGCCAAATCATAAACTAAAGTATCAATTACAACTGCAACAGATTTAGATGATGCAGCATAAAAATCTGTAAAAATTGCACATACATCAAAAAAGAATTGATTTATCAATATTAAAGTTCATTTATTTATATGGTTAATATGTGTTTTGAGTCCTAGAAACATTAATATAAATTTGTATATGTTAATTGTAAAACAAATTAAACATTATCAAACTGCTTAACTTGGATCTTCTTTTGATGGATATAATTATGGATGAATGCTTGGTAAAACACCACCATCAGCAATAGTTGTGTTGGCCATTAATTTGTTTAATTCATCATCGTTTCTAATAGCTAAAAGAATGTGTCTTGGATTAATTCTATTTTTCTTGTTATCTTTAGCAGCATTTCCAGCAAGTTCTAAAACTTCAGCAGCCAAATATTCTAAAACAGCTGAAAGATAAACTGGAGCTCCAGCACCA